CCCCAAAACCCCAAAACCCCAAAACCCCAAAACCCCATAAATTGCAACTTAAGTTGCAGATTATTAAACTATTTTATTTTAGAAATTGTAAACAGGGTAATTTATGTTGCTTTTTAGTTTTTGATCGAATGCTGGCTTTGTTCTAAGAGAGATTTGTGTTTAGGGTCGAGGATTTAGGATGAAATCTGTTGAGTGTTCTTTTAGTGTTATAGATGAATAAGGAGGATGCAATGAACCAGATAGAAATTGCATATGAGCAGATTAATGATAAGAATAATGGGTATCAGTTTGATACAAGAAAGAGGAAGCTTGATCTTGGGCTTAAATCTTGTAGAAAGCCACCATCCTTGTCTCAGAGTTCCCCTTTGGGATATTTCGAGACTGTAAAGGGGATATCTGAATATAAGACTCCTAAATAAGACCTTAAAGCGCACTGAGATTGATTTCACAAGGTATGTGAGTGTATAACTATGATATAGGACTTCTCCAAAGACAATTTATGATTCAAAGACTTACGAAACCACTTCTGCTTCCTCAGGATTTCAATTTTCACGTAAAATCATAGTTAAATTAGTAGAAACTAAGGATGACAGATCAGCTTTAATCCGAAAATCTATTGACAGTGTTTCCAGAGGGCTTTTTAAGGACAAAGAAGAGTAAGCATAACTCTGAGCTATATCAGACTATTCTTGCTCTTTATCTGGCAGCAGGGCGGGCAATGAAGTCTGTGCATAATATTTCTCACAATGTCTTACTATTAGTAATACTACAAATTTTAGTTCAGAAATAAATTTTTAAATAGTCATAAGCTGGATCAAAAAATTACTCCTATGAAATCTTTTTATTCTATCATAAGAATTAGACTTAATTAGAGTTATATGCGGGTTCATACAGCAAGTATTTAAGCTTGAATAAAGGATAGATGATTACTCGCCTAGTTACTTCTAAATTTTAGGAACTTTAGATCAGATATGCTTATAATTGCTTCTGGAACTTAATTTTATTCAAGTTTATGACAGAGCAACTCCTTAGAGCTTAAATCAATTGAGATTTCAGATAACTTTACTTTTATTTCAGTTTCGTTAAATTAATTTTGTGAAGTAGGCCTGAAAGAGTAAAGTACCAACCAGTATTCAGCTCCCCAAGTCCAGGTCTGTACTCAAATACAGAGAAATTGTCCTCATTAAATTACCAACATGATATGAGGAGTAGGTATAAGTACCGGCAATCATACACAAGGTAACTTTCTTGGAAGGTATTAACTTATGTTTCAATAGAGATAATCCATATCAAAGAAGTAGTGATTACTTGAAGGACTACACACCTTTGTTTTCATCGAACTCATCTAAGTATTACTCCAGGTACTAAATGTGTAAATTGGTTGTTCAACATTTCTGTAAATATTAGGGGTTTTGGGGTTTTGGGGTTTTGGGGTTGGGG